GTGGGTGGGCAGGGGAATACCTTGGTGACGTTGTGAAGGAAGAGATGGGGATCGGCAGTGGAGCCACCACCAAGAGTGTTCATGATTTTGCTGGTGATGATCAACATCACCGGCGTCCCTAATCCATCACCGATGGCTCCGATAACACCCAGAATCATTAACAGAGTATCTATAGAGTCGGCATGCATGAAGATGGTTCGGAATGAACCACCCTTGACTGCAGGCTTATTATTTCGAACACCGACCTTATTATCCATTTCGCCCACTTTCTGGGGAGGTTGGTAGAGGAAGAAAAAATCAAACAAGAAGCTTTGTCTCCTTACTGAAACTTGGAAAAGCCTCTCGTTTCTCTCTTGGACTTCTCCAGAAAGAGGCGGAGATGTGAGTAACTAGAGAAGGAGCTGATGAACTCGTATTTATATGGGGAAGGAAAGCACAAATTCGTATTTGTATTCGTAATTTCGTTTTACAAAATTATATTAAATATCAGTAAAATGTGCAGCGATTACGGTTGACTTTTATCTTTTTAGTAATCGTCATTAGTGACGTCTAATGTGAAGCCTTTTACAGGTTCCATCCTGCCCGAATTTCTAACCTCGAGCATTTTGAGGAGCTTCGATTATCCAGGATCCGATTTTTTTTTTTTTTCTGAGAAATATGGATACATTAGATGCAGAATTCTGAATTCCAACCCCCTACTACTAGCCCTCTCCCCTCTATAAACCACATCTTGTCCGTGAATTTGACATCCATTTTTGTACTAGGGCTCCACATGGGTTTGGGTTGGTTTATTGGGGTTTTCCCAACCGATTCGACCTGGTTGGGTTATCTGAGGTGGAAATCGAAACTGATCCATTGATAGGCAAAACCGACTTGATCGGTTTGGGTTGGGTTTGGTCAGTTTGGGTCGGTTTCGGTTTTGCTCCTATAGTCAAATCTTATTTCTGAAACTTGCCTCACTTTTGGTCCAGTGTCAACCTTACTAACCCCTGTTCCACTCAAAAAAGCTTTTGTATTTCCCTAGTAAGCAAGCAATCTTAATCTGTTCAGACCTTTATTGACCACCACCTGTCATTGAACAGAGAATTTTTCATGTCTGGGTTCCCAACTGTCATTTCTCAAAGCCTAGAGTAGCCATCTGGGTATAAGTTTCGAATTGAGACGTTGGATTCAAACCCAGTAATCCTGATCTACTATTAGAGGAAGGAAGTTGTAAGACTTCCTTTCCCACACCGAGTTCCAGAGTTTCCTTATTTCTGAAACTTCTAATCCCCTTTTGTGATTCTTTTCTTTGGCTGAAAAAGAAGCTATTTCTGTGATTCCTTATTTCTGAAACTCTTAATCCCCTTCTGTTCTAGTTTTAGTAGAAGACTAGTTAAGTAAGAAACTAAGAACTACCGAACTAGTAGAAGACTAGTTAAATTGGAAGACTAAGTTGATTCAGTTTCGATTTTTACACAAAAAAATCGAAATCGACCCAATATTTCAATTTATAAATTTGCTCAACCCAAAACCAACCAGTAATAATGAAAACCCGGCCGACTCAAGTTGGATCGGTGCGGATTGGTCAGGTTGCGCCTTCTTATGAACAGCCCTACCCTGTATTATAAGACTATAAAATTCTGATTTAGGCTGGCTTCATGGGGCTGCCCATGCCCATCCTTCCAACTAATTGATGCGATTACGTCCTGTATCATTGAAAGAAAACAAAAGAAAAAGCTGAGGCCGGAGGGTGACGTGATTACAAAGGGGACGCGACGCAAATCACATCAGCGGAGGGCTCTGACAATCTCTGGATCGGATGGTTTTCAGAGCGGATTGGCGGCCTCATTATTCTTTTATTTTGTAATGTAATATTCGGTTGCAGCACGCTGTTTCTAACTTTCTCTATTATATTGTCCTCCTTGTCCCATTGCTACTTTGCCACGATTTAAGCTTTCCCTCTTTGTTAATTAATAATTTTGAGGAAAGGAAACTGCTGAATATGTCTCAAATTAAAAACCTCTTTTTTTTTTTTGCTCCATATAACAACCCATAATGGTTGACCTTCACTGTTCCTCGGAGCTGGACAACAATTTCCATTTTTCATTGTTTTTCAATTCCTTCACAGAAAAAACTTTGCTGGTTGGGAGCCAACACGAAACAGCCTGGAAACATTCTTGGGCATCATAATACATTAAAATCCATTCAGCCCTTTGCTTATTGTCATTTTGGTCAACAGAAAATGGAGTGCAATTACTCTTTTACCCCACACTTATTACAAGTTTACAACCCATAAGTGATTGATACAATATTATTTTTATCGATGGGGCTACACATGGAGATCAGAATGGTGCCTCACAGAACTTTCCACCCGTGTATTAGGAATATCTCTCCATGACAAATATGAGAGATTTTCCAAATGAACGCTGAGATGTTAGCCTTGCCTATACTTGGCGGGCTTGCGTTAAGGGACATCATCGTCATTTTTGCTTGTAAGATTTTTGAGAGAATTGATGATATCTTCAGGTAGACCTTTAAAAGCTTAACGTACCCTTTGAGGAGGGATAGTCGACCTCCTTAGGTGCCAAACCTTGGCACTCTTATACCAACATCTCATGTGGGGCGGCCCTAGTTAATGGCTAGCATGGCTACCAGGGTTCTTCATGGGCGCACACATGCTCATGGGGACAGTGCATGGATCGGCATTGCACCACCAACACTCAAGGGAGGCTTGGCATGTGGGCATGTTCTAAGCATGACCCTTCACAACGCCAACCCCTTGCCTAAGCTGAATGAGCCCAGCGGTTGCCTATCATCATTGGCACATTTGGTGCCTACATCATCGGCATACAGGAGTCCCTCTCATCGGTGCCCAGTCGCCCCTCATCGTGGTCGTCCCCCTTTAGCACGTAAGTGGTGCCTCCCATTGATCGGCCAAAGCGAGCAAAGAGCCACGACTATGCGAACTGAGGTCATGATCCAGTGCTACTGAACTTGGCGGAGCCATCACACCGGGCAACTCCTAGCCCTAAGCACACATAAGGCTTGTCTTGTCCTACCCTGGCCAGGACGCAGCACGGGTTTCTTCCGTTGTAGATCTACTCCCGTGACAGTTGGTATCAGAGCGGACAAGCACACAGAGCCAATTGAAGCGGTCATTTCGACAAGTAGCACATTGTGGGGTGCGGTCCCTAGGCACTTCCACCCAGGTTCAAGGGAGCAAGTATACACATCAGGCCTGGAAAAGAGGAAATTCATCATGTCCCCATTCCAATGACCCCAAAGCAATGCCCTTGTGGGAGCAGACGCATTGGGTGCTGTGCTCATGCGGGGGCATATGCATGAGCCATTTCATGGAAGGCATATTGTGGTGGTTTGAGTGGGGGAGTGCCATGCTTCCTCACGGACATCAGTTGCTGTTCATTTTGGTGAATTGTGGGCGATGCACCCACATCTTAGTTTCATGACGGATGCGCCTTTGTTCCGTAGCTTGTCAGAGGCACTACTAAAGCAGGGACAACAGTCCGAAATTGGTTTGTATCAATGGTTGGTCAATGAATATAACTGAAGTGGCAGTTCTGCATCAAATGGGTCATTGATTGAAGCCACAATATTGGAATGATAGGAATGTGGGTACATTGGCCATTAGAGCATGGCGGCCCTACACCAGCAATGCATCAGAGGACATGCTTAGCTCAATAGCAATGCGGAACACTTGTAGTAGCAATCACACATCACAAAGGCGTGTGCATGTTCGACAACATCATGGGAAAAAGTTGCCACACTCGCGCACATTGCGGTCAAATCTCATTGAGGCAGCAGCACATTGGGGTCCCCTCAGAGCAAAGAGGTAGCTCGAGTCGGCGAGGTGAAGTGTAGTTTCGAGGGCCAAGAGAGCATAAGCCATGGCTAGTTTTGAGTAACCCGAACACGATGAGGTGAAGTCTGCAGGCCAGCAAGGTGAAAGGGTACCCATGACACATCGCCAACAGCAGGAGTAGACCTATCACATTGTGTTTGGTTGCACCACCGAAAAGCTACCAAGAAGACAGTCGAGCCTTGAGGTAAAGATGATACATGGGGCGGACGTCCGTAAAGCACACACATTCAATTTCTTCGAGGGCACTTCCCACACACAGTTCAACGGCATAGCCGTTGTGCGGTTTGAGTAGCCTCAAGACAAGGGGTGAAGTTCAGGCAAACTGGCATGGTGAAATGGTTGCGTCCCCATCAATGGACATCACCGTCTGACATAGGCTTAGCCTTGCCTATGCTTGGCGGGCTTGCGTTAAGGAACATCACTATCATTTTTGCTTGTAAGATTTTTGGGAGAATTGAAGTTATCTTCAGGTAGACCTCTAAAAGCTTAACGTACTCTTTAAGGAGGGGTGGTCGACCTCATTGGGTGCCTAACTTTGGCACTCCTACACCAATATCCCTTGCAAGGCGGCCCTGGTTAATGGATAGCATGGCTACCAGGGTTTTTCATGGGCGCACACATGCTCATGGGGACAGTGCATGGACCGGCACTGTGCCACCAACACTCAAGGGAGGCTTGGCATGTGGGCCCATTCTAAGCATGACCCTTCACCACGCCCGGCCCTTGCCTAAGCTGAATGAGCTATCCCGTTGCCCATAGCGCACGGGTGTGTTCTGGCCCACCGGTTGCCTATCATCATTGGCACATCAGGTGTCTACATCATCGGCATACATGAGTCCCTCTCATCGGCGCCTAGTCACCCCTCATCATGGTCATCCCCCTTTAGCACGTAAGTGGCGCCTCCCTTGGTGGAACCATCACATTGAGCAACTCCTAACCGTAAACACACATATCTACCCCCGTGACAACCTTGCATGTGAACTATACAATTGCCATGTCCGAAAAAACATAGTCATGTTGATTTTATGTCAAAAAAATCATATTGGTTTTGTGATTTTGCTTAATTATGTGGTAGTTGTTTTTGTTTTAAAAGTAAAACATATACATTAGCCAACGCCACTTAGGACAATTTTTTCTTTTTACAGTAGAGAGCAAATAGGTTCTGAATAATTGTGTTATACATGATTTACAGTTTCTCATGGACTAATACATGAGGTTGGAGCTTGGAGGAGTGACCGAATAAATTCAAAATGACTCATTTCTTGTTTAATTAAAATAATCTCCTCTTGTTCTTTATGCTTTGTTTGTTGCCTCTACTTTTTTGTTATTGAGCCCAGAGCACAAACACATATGTAGACAACCATGCCATTATGCGCCAGTATGTTTTGTTTTTAATTTAACTGTTCATCTGGCAACTTTTCGCCCATCGATATCTTCTCTTTTTCGTCCTTATGAAGATGAAATTTCTCCACCATTGTTGGTATGGTAAGTGAATAGTGGAAGAAGCACATCTCTCTCTCTTTCATAAGA